TATTGTATTATATTATATTATATTGGATTATATTAAATAATATTAAATTATATTACACATATATATACATTATATATATAATATTGTATACAGTATATTTATTATATTGTATGATAATATAATATAAACAAGATAATATAATATAATACTAATATGATATATATGAGATAACATATATATAATATATGGTATATACAATATATGATAATATATATATGTTGTATCAAATAGAGTAATATAGTGTATATTCAAATTAAATTATATTATATTATATTGTATTGTATTATATTATATTATTATATATTATCATATATTATTTTATCATATATTATTTTATACTATATTATATCATAGTATAGTATATTATATTATACTATATAATATTATATTACATTATATTATATCTATGTATATGTATATATATATTATATATATATACATTATATATATATCATATATATTATATATATTAAATATATATGTATATTATATATATTATATATATATATATTATATTATATATATTAAATATATTATTGTACATGTATTAATAGTGATATGTAATTATATATAGCTATTTTCCAGGCCCATGCTGCATATAGCATAGGACATTCATCTGAAGATTTTTCAGTTGGGTCATGATTATCCCCCCGGAAAGTCTGGCTGACTAGATAACTAGGGCCTAGGGTAACTACTACTAGTAGGGCTGTCCCAACTGGTTAAATAGTAGTGGTTAAGGCACTAGTAGGGGTGTCCCAGGCACTACTACAAATCACTACTACTGGTTAAGTGATTTGTATTTCTGTTAAACTGGAAAGCCAACTATCAAACTAGCTAAACTAGCACTTCTTTCAGATTTGTTTCAGCAATGCTGGGTCAACATGACTGGCCTTGTGGCAGGTAGTGTTGCAGAAATGCTAGCAATCGTAGATACCTCGAGATGGATCAATGCAAAACATGAGAACCATGACGGTCCTGAGAATTGGGCAACCTCGAGGAAGAAAGACAAAGATTGGTCCAGTTGTGTAGTCAAACTTTGGGTTTTCCAAGAAACCACAGAGGTACAGACTACGTTCATTCACAATAATTCATATATCTGTCACGCTTGGCACTTGCAAGGGCCAACGACATCCAATGACCACAATCTCTGAGCTGCACCCAACTCATCCCACATCTTGCTTTCGGAGTCTTGGCATCTGCAGTTCCGTCGCAGCGGTGTCAACATGCAGCTGGGCGGTCGTTGCCATCTGCATCTACATTTTTGGGTCTATCCAAATGAGCTCACATGTTGCAAGTGGCATTCCTCTCCCTTAAGTATCAATATCTATCAATTATCAATGTACTAACTTGCCAGAATTATAAATCATTGGCTCCATCAGCAATGCCCTCTACCACAAATAGGATGAGGCCAACCTTAACAATCATGTAGAATTCAACCGCGCGGGACCATGGTCAACCATGATTTTAAGATGATCTTAAGATTGTTTTTCCAGGGGCGGTTGTACAACCGTTCTGCTCGGGAAAAAAGGCCATGTGGCAACGGAATATCCCCATGACTTCATTGAAGTTTTTTTCGCAACAACCACCGGTTATAACCGCCACTCCCAACCGTCAATGCCTCTTGGAGGCAGCGGCATGGAAAAACCGTGGTCACATCAAACGGAGCTCCCAAGGCACGGGACATGCTGGGACTCCAGTGACCAGCGGCGCAAAACTTCACTCTGTAACGAAGTTGGATGATGCTTCCCACCGTGTAGATCCACAAAACAAAGTGGCAAAACTTCACTCGCGCCAGCTTTTACAATTCACTGCTTGGTGAGCAATGTAGGTTGTTAAACTCGGGACTTAAAAACCCATCATCCACCTTTTTGGAATCCCAAGCACTTCGCGCTGAGGGGTCTTTGGCAGCGGCCCCATGTCCTGCTTGCACTTTGCATGGGGTTGGACCTTGGCTTGACCCTTGCTGTCGGTGCTTCATGGACCTTCATTGGTCCCTGTGAAAATGGGATACCTCGAAATCTTGCAGTTCATCATGAGTTTCCCCCTGAACACCTTTTTTTTGTGTGATCCCCCTATTGTTTTTGTTGGACCCTTATTGTTGGAAAAAATGTGAAATGGTCGGTGGGTTGATAGAGAATCGCCAAGCATGTTGGATCGGTCCGTGGTTGCTTGGTTCGACCCACACGGGTATGTGCTGGTTATTTGAATCCCATATTTGGTTGCCTAATCTTCATGCTTGAAGCCTGTCCTTGCTTAAAAGCCCCAGTTTTCAAATGGTTCACCCCAAATCAAAAAAAAAACATATACATATCCCATTTACCAATCATACCCCAGCTATATCCCAACTAAATCCCCATTTTTCTTGGTTAAACTCCCCAGTTTTCGCTGCTAAACGGCGGCGGCGCCGCTTTATTTCCACAGGATCTTCTCGGCGAGGAAGGCGCCCAGGGGTGCTCCCAAGCCTTGGAGATCAACGTTTACAGTTTGCGAACTGGAAAATCACCATCTGTAAGTTCGGTTAATGATGGTTAATGATGGTTATAACAATGGTTAATGATGGTGAAAATAGTGGTGACTGGATGGTAAATCACCATTTTTAATGGGTAAATCAACAAAAACCCCTACAAATTTGATGGATAAATCAACGATTTTAACATTTTTAATAGGTAAATCAACTATCAATGTGCCATTTTCAGTAGCAAACTGTTAGTCATTACCAGAGGGGATCCGGTTGTAGTTTCAGTGGACCAATTGTAGATGTGTTTTGACATATCATTATGCACCTCCTGGAAACACTTGGCACTTTTTTGGGACCCCTATAAACTATTTTAACTTGCCTGGGGATATTATGTATATATATATATATGTATACAATGGAATATAATTGGGATACAATGGTAATACAAATGAGATCTAACATACAGTATCAAGTATAAACCTTCTATCTTTTGGGGGTTGCTGTAGCTATTTTCAAACACCACTCCGTCTATGATTTAGAGAACCATAGCAAAAAGTATCCCAAGGATAAATATGGTCTTATAGCGACCATCTTTAACCAGAAATCGATGTTCTTCAAATAGTTCATAGTTACTGTATCTCATGGATGGTGCAATTGCTCAGCCCTCCAAGTAGTTGCAACGCTAAAATGGTATGCAATATGTGGTAACCGGGTGGTAAATGATTGGTCGAAAAACGGTCAGTGACTGAAGACAAGGTTGCAATATCACAATATGGTATACCATCCCAAGCATTTTGGTAAATAGTTGCCCCCGAAACAGAAAGAAGAGATGAACACCTGCAAGTTACGACCTGGAGAAACTCTTCTATTTTCATCTGCTGGGATCCTTGTGTATGTGCTGTGGTAACATATACTCCCCTCCTCCATTTACTAAACAAACACACCGAAAAATGGGAATCCACAGTGGGACAAATCCAGTCACTAAACCTGGGTTTCTGGAGTGTGTTTTAATGGTATATAATACATCAGAATACCATGTTCAAACAAAATCGACCAGTTTACTACCCCTTCGTTTAAACGTTTACACAAAGATAGGTAGTTTTTGACAAGTGGTTTCTAAGATCAATAGCAAACAAAGAATGCACCATGCCTACACATCCCTTTTCCCCAAGAAACACAGTTCCGAAGAACCACATGTCCTCCTGGGTAAATCCCAACATCTTCGTGGAAACCATGGGTTTTTCTTGGTTGTATCCCATCAATATCCATCAATTGCCACTCTCATTGGAGTAGCCTCTGGTAGTCAAACGTGACCATGGAAAATCCTCCAGGTTTTACTGGGAAAATCCTCTATAGCTGGGGGATGTCCAATTGCTATGTTTGATTACCGGACGGGATAAAAATGCAAGAGTAACCCGCTAATCACAATGGTTATCACGCTTTAAAAACGAGATTTGCAGCCACAAAATCCATTTGTTTACACACATACCCTCTGGTAATCAAGCATGGTTTGCTGGAAAATCCCCCATTTAGTTCGATGATTTTACGTTTAAATGCCCATTTCGTTCGGGGATTTCCCCTTTCCCGCGCTCCCTGCTGCACTTTGCTGCACCGAGAACCAACCAACCGACGTCACCGAGACGCAAGGTCCCACGATGTAAATCCAAAATCCATTGCCTCGGTTGAAGAATGATCCCATCAGCGTCACCGGATCGGCCCAACATCATGAGGATTTGACCTTCCAAAACAGCGATGGATCACGGTGGAAAAATCACCACCTTCGCCTCTGAAGAGGGATACTCAAAGAGAGGAATTCCCGTGTTATCAAAATGTATATTCAACATACCAATTGCTCACTATGCTTGGATGTGCTGCCCAGGCAATCATTATAACATTATATAATTATATATAAACTATATAGATACATACGTGCAATACAGTACAAAACATTACAATGCAATACATTCTATTACATTCTATTACAATACATTACAATACATTACAATACATTACATTCTATTACAGTACATTACAATTCATTACATTACAATTCATTACAATACAATACATTAATTACAATACATTGCTATACATTGCGATACATTACAATACATTACAATACATGACAATACATTACAATACATAGCATTATATTACAATACATTACAATACATTGCAATACATGAGAATACATTACAATACAGTACAATACATTGCAATACATTACAATACCTTGCATTCCTTATATTCTATTACAATACATTACAATACATTGCAGTACATTAGAATACATTACAATACATGTACATTACCATTACATTTCAATACATTACCAATACATGACAATACATTACAATACAGTACGATACATTGCAATACATTAGAATACATTGCAATACATTAGCATACATTACAATACATTACAATACATTACAATACATTGCAATACATTACAACACCTTACATTCTATTACAATACATTACAATACATTGCAATACATTCGAACACATTACAATACATTACCAATACATTTCAATACATTACCAATATATACATTTCATTACATTACATTCTATTACAATACAATCACAATGCATTACATTCTATTACAATGCATTACCAAAACATTACAATACATTTCCATACATTACAATACATGACATTCTATTACAATACATTATGGTACATTACAATACATTCCAATACATTTCAATACACTACCAATACATGACAATACATTGCAATACAGTGCAAAACATTGCAATCCATTACAATACATTACAGTACATCACAATAGATTACGATACACTACAATACATTACAATACATTACAATACATCACCAATACATTACCAAAATACATGACACTACATTACAATACGTGACAATACATTACCAATGCATTACAATACATTACAATACATTGCAATACACCACAATACATTACGATACATTACGTTTCGTTACAATACATTACGATACATTACGATGCGTTACAATACATTACGATAAATTACAATGCATTACATTACATACAAACATACGACGTATACTTACATAAATAAATATATATATATATATATACATATATATATATATATATTTGAAGGGTTGCTATATACTTCACCCATTCAGATCACCCCTATCCATCCCTATCCCATCTCATTATACTAGTTGGTTGATAGGTTTCCCTAATATGCGTTGCAATCATCCCCAATAAGCAGGTAGTATACCTTACAATCGCCAATCAGGGTATAACACCTCAATGGCTGCTATATGCGGCTATACTCCCTACTTTAGGTGGTACTCCAATAACTAGCTATAGCTGTTATGTATCTACACCTAATAGCTATCTAATTCCATAACTCTTGCTTATAGATTTTATAGGCAACCCCTACAAGTTATAACTCCCTATAGCTATACCCTCTGGTAAACAAACAGTTTGCGACATAGAAAATGGCCATTTGGCCATAGAAATAGTTGATTTACCCATTAAAAATGGTGGATCTTTCCATAGTAACCAGAGGGTATAACTCCCTATAGCATCCTATAGGATCTCTATCGGTTCCCAACGCCAAGGTGCGAGGCCCTGGAATGGCCACTTCACCCCAGCCGCCCAGGGCTGCAATAACGCGAGGCCCAAAGTCGCGCGCGGGGTTCCAACCGGCCTGGCAGCGCTGACCAACAAAAGCACCGGAGTGGGAATCATTAATCTACCGTGTAAATAATGGCTTAATGATATAATGGGTAAATATTGGTTAGGAACCAAATGGTTTAAGTGTGGTGAATCATTTCTAAACATAAACTATAGTAACTATAGCAATGTTCTTATGCAGGTGACTTGGAAAAGGAATAGTCAGAAAAGGTTGGTCTGTGGGTCTCGCCCTCCAAAAACTCATGACCAACTCATGGGATCCGGAATCATGTTCCATTCCATGACCCACAAAAGGTTGTCTTTACCAAAAAAAATAGCAACTAACTCTGGAATACCAGAACAACTGCTGGGTCAAAGAGGTGAAATAGATTGAAATAGTGGACTCTGCAGCTACTGACTAGGGTTGCAACTAGTTGAATGAAATTAGCTGCAAAATGTTGTAAATTTTATGGTGTCTAGCAAGTCCCAATCCTAATTTAATGCTATTGCTTGACATTGTTTCAGGATGCTTCAGGAGCCTTTTTGATTCCACATCCATGAGGAAGCAACAGCACCAGAAGATGAACATCCGGGTATGTGGCAATTCTGCAGCACTTCCCCTTGAACTGCAGCCCGACAGCAATTCGAAATGAAAGAGAAGATCGGAGATCCAACAGCAAAGTCATGTTCCGAATTCATTCTTGGTCCAGGGTGACAACACTTCTGATAAAAGAATGGCATTCCTTCTACCCGACCTTCAAACACTCAGAAGTCCGGAGATGTAAGCTATCACCTGTCTTCTATCTGAGCAATGAAAAAAATACCTCCTATCCCATCCCATCATACTGGTTGCTTCATAAATATTCAATAGTCCCCTTTCAACCTGCTAGTACAACCCACTGTAACCAATCAATGGGGGTATTGTGTTACGGCTCTGTTTAACCCCAGCAGCACAGTTGCTGCCTGTGTAATGGGAGCATACAGCGGCAGCAAGACAGCCACCTTTGGCAGTCATGTCCAGGGTGGCGGGTTTCCATTAGAAGGAAGGAAACATGGTGGATTCTCCATTGACAAAAAAAACTGTCAATCTATATGAATTCGCTGGAGAGTAAACACATCACCCTGACAACAAAAAACTTCAATGAGCTACCAAGATGAAGAGATCCAATACACAACCAAGGTTTCGATTGGTGATCTTTAATCACAAAGCAAAGGTGTTGTCACTGGGGTCATACGTCTCAAACACGAATCAGGTGATCTTAGACAGCTATGGACGCCATGACTATGGACCAAGCTGAACTTGTTGGCACTCCAATGTTTGACTCGCAGACATGTTAACGGGGATACATTATGTATTTATAACATTTATATATGAATATACAGTATACATATCATATATAATCACGCAATTTGATACATGTACAGTACTAGAAATCCTATGTGAATCATCCTGGCGATTGTTATATGTATAGTTATGGTTGCTCCGAAATGCAAGTTGAGGCAGCTGAAACATTCTTTTGGGACAGCCTAGGAATTGTCAATGGCAATTCATAGCACCATATATACCCAATCATGGGTCTGCATCAAAATCATCAAGGGGATAACCGTTTGACGTACTCATTTGGTTGTTAGCCAGTGCTGACTGGACTGAACATCTAAGCATGAGGTTGGAAAAAACGTCAACCCACTGCTTGCCTCACAAGACCAAACCCTCAACTAGAAATGCTTGATTTGGGTGACAGGGGCCATATTTCAGATCCCTCATCGTTCATGAACGATCTTAAATGAGCTCACGTCGTGTCGCACAATTTTGGGCCTGTGGAGGTTCAATGCTTTGCTACTGGACTGATGACAGGTGAGCTCTACTTCTTGTTTTCAGATCTGCTTGAGTCAAGCCAACTATGAATACAATACAATTTCCCCACATATGAATGATCCGGAATATCTGGACCACTTGCAAAAAAAGCATAACATATCATATTATCATCATACATTGTGTTGCTGCGGATGCTTCTGCTTCAAGCCAACATCATCCAACATCCATCCCAGGTACTGTCATGCCAATGGTGAAAGGCACCCCAACTCGTTCCATGCTGCCTTCCGAGACAGATACACTTCAATGCCAAGCCGCAACTCGGGCTACTCAGACTCAGAAGCTTAGAATATATATATATATACATATGTGTGTAATTATATATAAATTACATGATCCGTTCAAAATGCAGGGACAAACAAATAGTTTGGAAATCCTGCTCCTGAACCAATCTTCGAATGTATGCAAGCTGGGTAAGATCATATCACAGGGAGAAGTACGCCAAAAATCATCAAACATCCATCAACCTGCTTTCCCAGTTCCGCCGACAAATCTTGGCCACATCAACGGGGCCTAAGACTTTGTTGCCGCCATTGGTGATGCCAAAAATCACGAAGGCCAAAATAAAGGTGCCCCAAGCTTCTGTGAGCAAAGCACCCAGCACAGACCTTGGGAGGAAAGTTAGATCTCAAGGATGCGACTTGCAAAACAAGCACAGTTTTTCTTTGGCCAGTTGCAGCGTGTCGGACTGTCTAAGCTGCCGGTGGAGAACCCAAGCACTGTAATTGGTGACCCACAACTTTTGGGCTACCAAATCCGTCCAAATTTGAGTGTCCGGAGCCGTTTTGTGGGCGTCCAGACACATGTTGGGGGAATCGCAGCGCGCAATATCCACCGGATGAGCATCCCACTTAGTCACTAGTTGTCACAACTCTTAAAGAGATTGTTCATAGCCCATGTTCAAGTTCGGAACAATCTCTTATTTTTTTAGGGGGAACTCTGTACCCAAGCATATGAACGACTTAGCAACTGGGAATGACTGGGATGTAAAGATATTTCTTAAGCCAGCGATGCTGGCCTAACTCCAACGCAACCTGGTCACACATCCTCAAGAGCGTAGGGACCGCTTCCCCACTCTTTCGTGAGTCCTGTAGATGGACTTGAGGACACTTGTACTATCCTGTATCATGTTGCGTGTGTGATGATGATGTGTACTGTAAAGTAGCATCCAAATCATTGAACAATACATATAACTATCATAACAATACTATGTATAATATATACATTTGTGTACAACACATAGTTCTGTTTTGCGTTGCTCTACAAACCCAAAGTGTAGCAACTAAAACACAATAGAAAACACGTTCTGGCTTCGCCGCAGAAACCCGTACACAGGATTTCTGCAACCGGCAGGACATCAAAGGTCAACTTGTTGGTCTCAAGCCATGTGCTTTACCGAAAAGACATGTCACTGTTGATGGGGAATTGGATGAGCAATCATCAAGTTTTTGGGGTCCCTATATGATCATATGTTCAGACAAAGCCATGTGTCAAAGAATTTCCAGCAACCCAAAAGTATCCCAAAGTCATCATTGTCCACTGTCCGCTGCTTCGGTCCTGGGTTGGGAAAATATTCTCCAAATGCTGAGGCCGAAAGAATGGACTTTGCCTCGCCCCGAGTAATGCCATTCTCACGTTCGAAAGCGGCAATGGTGGAGCCATAGATCAACAGGTTCAGGGCACCTATTGACACGCCACGAATCATCCCATCCGGAAAACCGCCTGAAATGATACCCCCAAAATGAAATCCAAAACACTTTTGACCAGGGTTTCTGGGTTCTTTGTTTCAAAGAGTTGGTCACAACTGAATCCCATATTCGTTTTCTATCAAACCAATTGACCATCATTCAAAAAATCGTGGCTAATGACATATATAGAATATGTCCACTCTGGTGGCCAAAAAAGAAATTACCTACAGGAAGGGCCCCCTTAACATCCACTATAAGTACGTTTGGAAAACCCTAACATTATCTAACTATAATCCACTATTTTACATCGAATCTTTGGCCTTGTTACAAACCGACTCATGTACGTCACATAGCCTTTATTCTTGTTGGTTGGGGTGAAATCCCATTCTTCTTATCCTTGGGGACCGTCCAAAAACCCAAAACAGACTTCGGGCCCATGGGCCCATGGGCCTGCGAGCATAGCCCCAAGCAGCTGCGCCAGCACATACTGAGCCGACTTCAGCCAGGTCATCTGATGCGCTGAAGGACGCACCTCACGAAGGGTACGAAGGCTGCGGCGAGTCAGTCTGGACTGCAGCATTTTGATGTGGATATCGATGAATGACCTAGTAATGGGGATATTTCATGGGATATGATTAATGGAATATAATGGGACATAAGATATAAGTAATTATATCCAACTATATTCGGATTTGGGTTTACCTAAAAATGGCGTATATACAAACAAAATCGCATGTTAAAAGGGAAAATGATGAGTAATCATGAATTTTTTCGGGCACCCTGTTGCCGGTTAAACCCACACGGTTGGATGGGTCAGGTTTGAGTGGATACCCAAAAGCCATATGTTTTCTTTGTGCCTTAAATTAGCGAAATCTTAGATCTTTGCCAGATACCCTCTGGTAATTTAACATAGCTATTGAAAATGGCCATTTGTAGTGAGTTTTCCCATTAAAAATTGTGATTTTCTATAGCTATGTTAGTTTACCAGAGGGTATGTTGTGGTTCCAAAAAGAATTGTGGTTCCGTTTTCTATCCATCGCCATCGCCATCCCCATCGTCCCCATCGCAGCTGCGGAACCAACTGAAACGCCAAGGTGATGGCAGGGTTCAAATGTGCTCCACTGGCCTCTGCCGTAGAGTAAATCGCCAAGGATACGCCCAGGCCCCAGACCTGGGATTCAGTGGATTCAGTGGATTCGAAACGAGACCGCCGGTGAAAGTTGGTGGGACTCAACACAGGATCTGTGTTCAAAATCTTAGGAATCGACTCAATAGGATCTAAGATTGGTAACCTCAACAGAGTTTCAGCTGGATCATCTCCATATCTTCCGTGATTTTTTGTGAAATCGACCCATGGTTACCATAAGCCAAGCTTCACTTAGGTCAAAATGGTCACGGCCCAAAACATGGAGGGTTTTCATTTATACATGTAATATATATATATATATATACATATATGTATGTATGTCATGTATACATAACTATACACATAAATAAATATAAATACATATATCACCACCCAAAGAAGGGAAAATTTGAACCTCAAACAAAACGCCCAGCTGGTCACATCACCGAGCAGCAGCTGCCACCTGCCACACACCCGAGTAGGCGCCCGAGAGTGTGGCGCAGACGGAGCCGCAGCCAAAGATGACCTCAGGAATGTTTTTGTTCAAACGCAGTGGTTTGGGCCATATGTATGTATATATTGTATATAATATGTGTACGTATATATATATATAAAATGTATATATATATATACAGTATTATATATATATATATTATTAATCAAAATCATTTATCAAATATAGTGATACAAGAACGGTGTTATCTTAATACTGGCAGTATTTTTCCATAGCTGTAATACAAGGTATTGTCCATATCCATACAACTTAGAGTAGATACAGTAACTGATATCCGGTTTAGAATCATGAATGAAGATCAGGAACCACGTACCAAGTAGGATGTACCCTACTAATCACCATTAAAATGGCTTCTGTAAACTATACACCATCCCCAAATGCTATGTTTACCATATTTGGAGTCTGGAATCATCCCAATATAGCCAAATTGAAATGGGTGAACTAACTATATACTATGGTTCCCAACCACAATTGGAAAGGAATCATCTCATACATGGTGAACTAACTATGGCTACTCTAGGATGGTGCCCCCCAGTTATAAGTTCGTTTATAAACCCCATCAAACCCCCAGTGATGTGAACGTTGGTTTATAAACCCCATCAAAACTAGTTCGTTATATCTACATATATCTAGCATAAACCATCAAAATCAGCCACTTTAACATCTCAACTTGGCTATCTGAAGGGGGGCCCGGGGCCCCCCCCTGTAACTCACCAGTTACTTTCTGCCCAGTGCCGATCTCCAAGGCGCAATCAGCCCGGTGCCGATGGCCTCCGCCAGCAAGGCGCGAAACAACGCATTCGGTGCATTCGGCGCCGTCGCAGGAGCCGGGGGCCTCAGGGGAGATAAAATCTTCCCAAAAATCATGGTAATTCATGATGGACCGTTTATTACTGGATATTATATATATATACACAATATTATATAATATACACGATGTATATATGTAATTATATATACCCATAGGATCCATGTATGGTATATATGCTAACATTTGGGGTATATTGATGGTAAATGTTACCATATATAGCATACCTGGATCCTATGGGATATAAAATTACATATATACATAGTGTATATTATAATAATATTGTGTGTATATATATATAATATGTATTGATCTCCAGAATATGGATTTATAAATTCAGTTATAAACTGTGAATCATGGGGTAATGGATGAGTCCCACCACTTTTCCGTGGGAGTGG